ACCTTCAGACCATATCTGGGGACTTTTATTACCTCAGGAATGCCAGCCCTGGTGCCCATCCCCACCCACCTCCATCAGGCCAGCCGTCTGGTCCTCCACTCGGACCCTTCAGAGGTTTCCTGGATTGTGCACGATGCTTCTGAGATCTCAACAACACTCCCTCCATCCACAGCAGGGCTCCCGACCGGAGACCACGGCGAAACCCTCAGCACATCCAGCAGGTTCTCAGGAGTGGCTGCTGAAAGTGTCCCCTGCTTATCGTTGCCATAGAGTGGCCCTATGGAGTGGGCAGCCTGGGTGGCATACTTCCATTTTACAGATCAAAACCAAGGCTTGAAGAGGCAAAGGGACTGATCCAGGGCACCCGTAAGAGGCAGAGGTAGCTATTGGACTCATACCTTCTGATTCTCAATTTTGACAACTTCCAGTCACTGAGTCATAAATACAGGCCACACCCTGAGCTCAGCACTTTTTGTCCATTACTTCTCCCACTTGCCCCTGCCAATAGCCTGAGAGGTGGGTACTATGATCACCCATTTTACAGATGGGTAAACTGAGGCTCCACCCTACCACCATGAATGCCAGGCCTTTGCCATCTCCTCCATCGACAGCCAGCTCTTATTAACATCCAACGGACTCTGTCTGGGGGAACATTCACCCTATCTTCTTGCTTGAGGCTCCCACTGGAAGGCAGAAATGAGTTCTGCAGGTTCACTGCTCTGGCCTTGGAGAGGGCAGGAGACGCAGCCCTGCCCCCCACACTGCGCTGAGCATGCTGGGAGGGGCTCCGGGAGGAAGCCTGTGCACTCCCGGTGCCCGCCCCGCCACATGTGTGCGCGTAGCGCCCAGCACCCGCACACCACACAGCTCCACTAAGGGAGGCCAACAGGGGCCACATCTCATTCCTCAGGGTCCCCCAGCCCCCCTACCCTGACCTGCACCTACTATGTGCCAGCTGCTTCACATACATTTAAAATCTTCCCCACATCCCTGTTTTCAATCCCCCCCTTCTAGGAAAGGGAAGATGAAGGTTACAGAAGAGGAGCCGTCGCCCCACAGTCGCAGGGCTGGGCGAAGCTCCACCAGGACTCACCAGAAGGCCTGGGGGGTCTCTCTGGCGCACCCTCCCAGCCATGCTGCTGAGAACACAGTCTCACTAGGGATTTGAAGGTTGACTCGCCCTCAGAAGAGCCTGAGTTCGCTGTGCAGGGTGAAGCCAGGGCCTCGGGGTGGGACAGAGGACTGGAGGGCTGGGACCCGGGTTTCAGTCTCATTCTGCCACCAACTTGCCAGGCAACCTCAGTTTCCCCAGATGTGGCAGGAATTGGGGAAGAGCATGAAGCCCAGGTCACCCTAAAAACCTATGAGCTCCCCAAGCCCACTCTCAATCACCTTGGCTCCCTGGGTACAGAGCTATGGAAATACGAACGCTGGGGCAGCTGTGACAATGCAGCAGCCCTCGGATCTCCTGAATCAGTGGGGGGAGGGGGCAGAAGCCTGCCCCTCACCAGGTGATTCTGATGTCTAATGCCTGAGGTCCACCCACCTAGGGTTTCCTTCCATGCTTCCCCTCCTGACCTTGGCCAACTGCAGAAGCAAGGTGCTCACCTGCTCTGGCCCCAGGTCCTGGTGCCAATCACACCTCTGTGCACAGCCTTCTACAGTGCCCAAAGCTCTCAGACAGCTGTGGGCTGAGGCAGGGCAGGACAGGCATGCCCTGGTCACAGATGAAAAGACTGAGGTGCAGAGAGACAAAGTCACTTGCTCAAGGTCACAGAGCTAGTCAGGAGTAGAGGCTGGGCCTGCGTGCTCATCCTTTTAACTGGGAGTCCATCATCTGGGGAAAATGAGGGGCCTAAAGAGGCAGCTGCTGCTTCTTGCCTGGGACCTGAGAGGTTAGCAAGATTCCCTGCTCTCCAGAAAGCAGTGTGACCTCGGACCTGGCTGGACCTCAGCTTCTCTCCAATCTCTCTCAAATAAATGGGCCCAGCCAGGTAACATGAGTGTATGCTTCTGTTTTGGCTTTCCAGATGCTATCAATTCCATGAAGTAAAGGCGTGGTGAAATTGTCTGGCTGCCTAGGACAGGGCGACACCTGCCTGGGGAGGGCTCTGCCTTTATCTACAGGAGACCCTCTAGATCCTTTCTTGGATCTTCACCCAAAAACAACATCATCAACAAAAAACCCCCACACGTTTTTGGCCTGTTGGTTCCCAAGATTTTGGCACCCTAAATTGGAACTGGACTCACACAGGAGGGGGAGGAAGGGTCTAAGAGGGTAGGCAGGAAGCCCAATGGCCTGGCTTCCATCTCTGCCATGTTCCAGCTGTGTGACCTTGGGTAAGTGTCTTCATTTCTCTGTGCTGCTTCTTCAACTGTGGCATGGGAATAACAAGGCTACGCGAGGCCCCATGGTAGCGATGCGTGCAGAGCAATTCGCTCAGTGGATGCTTGCTGGGTTACCAGCTACCCAAATCCCCTGACCCATACTTGTGCTGGGTAGGGAGAAAGGCAGAGGGAGCAGTGGGAGAACAGAGGGAGCGGCCCAGCATTTCAGTCTTTCAACAGCATAAGCCACAGGCAGCTTTTCTGACCTTCTGTCTGGAGAGGACTTTGGAGAATGCTGGAGGCATCCGGGGCCCCATCTCTCAGAGATCCCACACCAGTGAGCCGGTTTTCTGTTGCCAAAGAAGGGGGCCCGTGGGGTCCTGGTGGTCTGGGCCATGGGAAGCAGCTGTGCCCGCCCCCTCCTGTCTCCTTTCCAAGACTGGGCAGCTTTCCCTGCAGAACATCAATAACCCAAGATGGCCTTGCTGAACCCAATCACAGCTCCCTGGGAATGTGGGCTGATCCTCCAGTCCAGAATGTGGAGGCTTGTGCGGGGCTGCAGCCTCCAGTTAGCGGCCACTGTCCTTCTGTCCTCACAGGCAGTGCCCAGAGGGACAAGTCTCTCTCCAGTGCCCAGAGGCACCTTCAATTCCACGAGATGCCTGGAGGCTGAGGGGTGGGGGACTGCAGTAATCGCAGAGGCGCTTCATCTGTGTGCCTGGGCCGTCTTCTAAGTGTGCAACCTACATTCACCTGTGGGCACATTCCAGCATGCCACCTGCCTGCCAATGCACAGACACGCATGCAGCTGGCATTTGGGACTCCACATGTGTGTGTTTGTTGCTTTCACACCAGGGCCAGCCCTCGCAGGGGCACATGCCACATTGGTGGCTGCTGTAGGGCACTATGTGCAGGCCGATTGCCCATGTGCAGCCCACTGCATTCCTATGTTAGTGTTACATGCATATGTGAGCATGCTTTATTCAATGGTGTGTGTGTGCATGCACGCTGCATTCGTGTGCACACTGTATTTTGCAGATGAGCAGGTGGTATTTAGAGATGTGAGCTGTATTCCCATGTGGTGGGGTGTATCTGTGGGCATGAAGACTCCATGTGAGTTTCTATGATTGGAACATACAGTGTACTATATGGGGACTCTGTGTGAGTGTCTATGATTGGAACATACAGTGTACTATATGGGGACTCTGTGTGAGTGTCTATGATTGGAACATACAGTGCATTACAGTGGGCACTCTATTTGTATATGTGCATCTGTGCAAATCTGTAGGTGTGCATAGTGCCTGATGAGAATGGGACTGGGCCTATGAAGGTGGCTAAATAATATGGGCAATCACTATCTTTCCTGGCCCCCCACACCCCCTGCAGTGTTCTCCCAGGGCCACAGCCCCAAACCTGTCACTACCCCTTCAAGGAAGTTAACAGGAGGAAGCCCTGGCAGTCTGCACTCCAAGCCCCCTCCTACTGCACACGTCAAGAGAGAATTTCTCCGGATGTCATCCTCCACTCCTGGAAATGCCCCAAACATCAGCTCTGCCTCTTCCCAGAGATTCAGAGAGCAGTACAGGTGAGGAGGGGAGCCCCTTCTGCACTGGGTCAGGGGTATGCAACGTCACACCACGACCCTCTGCTGGCTGAGCTTGCCTGTTCACTTACCCTTCTGAAGGTCGAGCCAGGCTGGGCCTCTGCCTGGGGACCCCGAGACTCCTGGGGACCTTGCCTGACAGAGGCAGGCCAGTGGAGAGACCCCTCCCTACACAACCTGGGTGAGCAGAGGGCAGAGGTGGTATGGAATGGCCAGCTGGCTAGCAAAGAGTGGCTGCCTACAGCCCACCCTTGGGGAGTCCAGAGGCCCCCTGCTGGCTTTCCCAATTCTGACCCTGCAGGGAGCAGGGAGGAGCCCAGGTGCTCTGCCAGAGGCCACCCAGGCCAGCCTAGGAACTGGGCTTCCAGGCAGAAAGTGCCAACTCCACCACCCAGCATGACTGCTGCAAAATGGCCTGTCCACCCTACTCCTGCCCCATCCTGGCCATCTCAGGGACCTGGTTCCTGCCACCACACACCCAGGCTGGCTTGCCTGATCTGGTAGGTCCCAGTACACAGCAGCCTACCCCACCAAGGGGACCCTCTGTGGGGGGCCTCCCGCTGCTTCTTTCCTGGGACCCTGGCTGGGGCAGGCAGGGCACCTTTGGTCCTTTGCGTTTCCCGAGGCCAGCAGCTCAGAGGGAAGAGGAGCTTGCCCTCCACCTCTTCCCCACCACCAGCTTGCCGGCCCTTGCGTAATATCCACTGGGGCATTTGCTGTCTAGAGGCTGCTGGAATCTACCTGAGACCCCAGGCATCCGCCTGTCCGAGCCCCCCCTGCCAATGTCCCCAGCACCCCAGACCTCTCCCTCAATACACAGACCCTCACACTAGTGTCTCCCTCAGCAGCAACTCCCAATGCAGCCTCAGCTGCTGCCAGATAAACACAGATAAACAAGCCCAGCTCGTACCCCCCCCCCCAACACTGCTGCCGCCGCCACCACCACCATCAGCACTGAGAAAAAGCAAATGAAATGAAACAAAATAAAATGGGTGAGGGAGGAAGGGGAGAGTGGAGTGGGGAGCTTTTTATTTTTTATTTTCTCATGCTGGGGGATGCCGGTACTTACTTGGCTACGAAAATCAGCACAAATCCGGCATGGTTTACAGGCGGGCAGCCCCAGAATCGCGGTGCGGCAGCTGGTGCCGCGGCTGAGCCCAGCCAGCGTGCCCGGTCCCTCTGCAGACTGTACCATCCTGCCCGAGCAGGTGGGGGGGCCGGGGGCGGAGGCGCGCGCTGGCTTCTAGGAGAGCATCGCACCGGCAAAGCGCGATCTCGGGGGAGGCAGAGGCCACCCCTGCCGCTGCGCGCAGGCTGGGGGAGGGGGCGGGAGGACGGGGGAGGGCCCGGCGCGGGCTTGTTCTGTGGGGGGACGGGAGGAGAGGAGGGGGGGTGGGGGTTGTTGCGTGGACGGAACCACCGTGGTGGTGTTTGCGGTTTTAATTCCTCCCGTGGGATCATGAGGAACTAAATAAAGCTGGCAGAGTCCCAGGAACCTGCCGGCTCCCTCGAAGTAGGAGGGAATGTCAAGGGCATGGTGAGGGAAGGGATGGGGCAGAGCAGGAGGGGAGGGGTCCCTCCAGTGGTGGAAGGGGTGCGGTGGTGATAGCAGAGAGGGGAGGAGTTTGCTCACATGGGTCACAGTCCTCCCCTTCTTTCTGGGGGCCTCCTGTGGCTGGGAAGGGGATCTGCCCCTCCTTCTTTTTAGTCAGGGCACCCCCATACCTGGGGGGCAAAGGTCACATGGGGGTTGGAGTGGTCTTAACACAGACTAAACCACGTCTGTGGTTGCAGAGCCTGCAGTGAGATCCCTGCTGCCATCTAAAAGTGACCCCTGCAACCCAGTCCCTGGCTGCTGGCTGGTATGCACCCCCACCTGCGGGGGCTGTGGGCCTGGCAGATGACCCCTTCCAGGGGTGGCTTCTCTCCGGACAGGTGCCCCTGGCAGGGATGTCTGCATATGTCTTGTACATCTACATAATCTGCGGGGTCATCTGCGATGAGTTGGGGGACTGATCATATTGGGGGACAGATGATGTCCAGAGCGCTCCAGGGACCCCCCAAAGAGGAGTCTGTAGAAATAGAATCTCCCATCAGCTGCCCACATCTTCCTGTCTCATCTCTGCCAGACCTGCTGCCCCTTTAAATTCAGAATGGCAAGAGGACAGCCCTAGGAGCAAGGTGAGGAGGTCAGAGTGGGTGAAGGGGCTTCTCTTAGATTCAGAAGCCTCCCACTCCACTGCCTTGCCCCCTCCAGGAGGGGGTGCTCTGTTTGTGAAGAGGGCACTGAAGGTTGAAGGACCTTCAGGACCAGTGTCTCAAGGTACCTGTCAGTGTGTAGGGGGTGCATGGGGGTGCAGCATTGGGAGTTGCCCTAGGAGGCTGCTCCAGATGGAAGCTGCCTCCTTCCCCTGCCCCCACCCCCTGCCCACTTCTGAGCTGCCTGCCAGAGTGTCCCGAGCTGCTGCTCCATCCCTGAGCTGGCACAGAATATCAATTTGTCTCGTTAAGCTGAAAGTCTGCACTGCACCAAAATCAGAACCCGGCTGGGCAGAGGGGCCGTGGGAAGCAGGGAGCTGTGAGCACCAGCAGCAGGGCCCCCCAGCAGGACCACACTGATAACCCTTTACTCTTCACCGCTCCCCACCCCAAGCCCCACCAGAGGGCCAGGCAGGGTGGTCTCAGTGCAGGAGGATGCTGAGGAACTAAGCATGCTGAGCCCTGGTGGCCCGGGTTTCACCGGGGCAGGCAAAGCAGGTACTTGCCTGGGATAGCAGAGCTGCCCAGGACGCCTTTTGGAAAAACTCTTGTCCCCCACCAACAGCCCAGGACAGGGAACTCCCACATAGCACCCTTCTTGGAATGAAGATGGGGGGATTCCACTGGCACCCCTCTAGGCAGACTTCTAAGTCAGCCCCCATTCCAGGGCTGGCTCAGGCCAGGAATCCCCTCTTCTCCAAGACCTAGAAGTAGCCTCTGCCCCCCAACATGGGACCAAGTGAAAGTGTTCTGAGATGGCTGGGGTGTGAGGGTGGGCAAAGAGGGTGAAAGGCCCACTGCAGCTCGCGTGTGGTTTGAGCAAATGGGTCTGTGTCCTACGTCCTGCCATTATTAAAGTAACACTACTGGGGGCAACACCTTCGCGGAACAGAAAACAGACAGCTCCTCCAGGGGCTGGTTAGGAACCACCATTCCAACAAGAATCATCCCTCCCAAGTCCAACACAGTATACAGTTTGCAAAGACCCCCTGCAAAACAGTAAATCACTCGAGCCTCAAAACAACTGCTGGAGTGGCTGCTGAGACCCAGGTTACAGATGAGGCAGCTGTGTGTGGCTCAGAGGCATGGGGTGGCCAGGAAAAAGTCCCTCAGCTAGGAAGGGGTAAGCCAAACCTGAGACCCAAGACAGACTCCAAACCCAGGCTCTTCACGTGTGAAGGTCAGCATGGTGTGGGCTGGCAGGGGCCCCTCACACTCACCCACTTGGAAGTCCTGAGTCCTGCCTGCTCACTGGCCCCTGTTTGCAGTGGGTTGGGTCTGTACCAACAGACACCAAATTCTCAGAAGCTCATGGATTTTGGTTTGTTCCCAGAATCCAATACTAGATAGAACTGGCACCTGGCTAAGCTTCCATCTCCTTGGCATTCCAGGCCTTGTGTACTTCTGCATCCACACCCTAATTACGGGATACCCACTAACTTCTGAGGAAGCCCAAATGTTGAATAGCATAGTTTGAAAGTTCTTCCTTATGCTAGGCCCATGAACTTCTATTCAATCTCCAGGGTCCAACTCAAGTGCCTTTTTCTCAGACAATCCTTTCTGATTCCACCAAGAGAATTTCTTCATGCCTCTGTCCTACCTCTGACCACACCATATTGTGATGGTCTACATATCTGTCTCTCTCATTGGGCTATGACCACATTAGCTGTCTACAGAGTCCCTGCTCCCAGCATGTGGTAAATACTGTAGTAAAAGCTTGAATGAATCCCCTGCTGTGTGATTTTGATTCATCAACCGCCAGCACTAGAAGGACCTTCAAGGACTCCTTTGCAATTCTCCTATTTTACAGTTGAGTAAACTGAGGCTCCAAGAAAAGGATGGCTCTCCCAAGGTCATCCTTGAGGGCAGAATTTGGTCACAGACATTGGTCCCTTGCCCTTCCCCCTGTGCCTCCCTTTCCGGCAGCAGATATACCTGGGGCATCTGGCCTGTCCTTACAGGGAGGCAGGGGGCACTAGATAGGCAGAGGTGTTGTGAAATCAGACAAACAATGGCACTGGTGTTGCAACTCCGGGAAGATTTGAAACGACAGGCCAGGGCTACCCACAGAGAAGAGGGGGAGAGAGGCAGGAGGCTGGCCAGGAGGATTACTGATAGCTTCTGCCTCCAGCATGATTTGGCTTATGGCGGACATGGAGCAAGGGTCAGGGTTGGGGGAGGCATGAGAAATAGGGCAGGAGTGAGGGGAGAGCCAGCCTAGTTTGATTTTCAAATGGAGTTTAGTTGGCCAGACTGTTTTCTCCCTTGGAACACGTCCTAGAGCAGGGGAGTGTGGGGCGTGGAGAGGATCAGTCTGCCTAGGGATGGGGGTGGCGGCTTGGCCCAGTCTGCACAAGGGAGCCAGATGAGGTAGGGCCACACAGTTCTGACGGAGGCAGAATCAGATGCACTCAGAGGACAGCTGTGTCTTCTCTGTAAGCTAGGGGCTCTCCATCCATTCCCCTATGGAGGGAAAGCAGATTGAGGGCTACCCCTGCCCTCACCTTGCCCAGCTCAGTCTTCTGACACTGGGGCCGGGGTCTTGGGGTAGCTCTTGAGTCAGCCGTTGTTACAAAGAAATGCTGGTAGGGCCCCTCAGGGACAAGAATCTATTTGCAAAGGCTGCTCACATCCCTGCCTTGTCTGACCTCTATAAGTCACCCTCAGAGAAACTGGGCTTCTTCCCATTTTACAGAAGAGAAAATTGAGGCCTAGAGTGACTTACTTAGGAATCATAGAGCCAGTGAGGACGACAGCCAAGACTAGAACCCAGATCTGGCCCACTTGAGCTCTAGACTCTTCCTCTGCCCCTGCCTGAAGTTACCCAAATGGAAGGCACATGTCTCAGGCTCTTCTAGGCCCATGACCTCGAGGGGTCACAGAATGTATGTCTGCGGGCCACATGTCCTAGCTTTTCCCTAGTCTCCCCTCTACCACCTGGGGGCCCCTCCTCACTCCCACCAAGCTCCAAAACTCCCTTAGCCAATCTGATCTTGGGCTGGGTCTTTGTGGCCAGACAGACCTGGATTCAAATCCCAGCTCCTTCATTTACCAGCTGTGTGACCTTGGGCAAATGACTCGATCTCCCTGAATCCCAGTTAAAATGGGGACAATAATATCTATTTGGCAGGGTTGCAAGCTAGAGGAAAAGGGAAGTTGTTATTAATAGAAGAAACATGGTGGGGTAGGGGTAGGGTTCTCCGGATGGCTCCTGGGAAATGTTGGGGGTGGGTTTATTCCAGCCCCTCATCCCACTGGGGAGTGATGGTCCTCCTATACCACCTGGCCAGGGCTGGTCTCTAGGGCCCAGGCAGCTCTGCTGAGACTTGAATTCAGGCCCTAATTCCTGGCTCCTCACCCCCCACCCCTGTGGTTCTTGCTCCCTCAAAAAGGAGGGTGCAGGCCTGACTGCTGACCAACTCCAGCCACTATTCACATTGACATCCTACCGTGTCTCAGATGGTGTGAGCTTCACAACATCCTGGGAGGTAGATCCTATTTTTATACTCATTTTACAGATGAGGAAACTGAGGCACAGACAGGTGAAACAATGTTGCCCAAGGTCATAGAATGATTAGGGGAACTGGGGCTCAAAAGCAGTGCACAGGTCAGAAATCCTCAGCCTGTAGGGCCTACCCTAGCCTTCTAGCTGGGTGGGGCAGGTATGTTGTGATGATTGACCTTGTCACCCCCCTGAGAGGCCAGAGGCCAGATGCCAGGAATAGAACCCAAATTAGGGAGCTGGCACTTTCTCTCCTGAGAGAACACAGAGCCTGGGGAATCAAGAGCTACTCTGGGAGAACTTCCTGGGGGAGGTTGCCTTTTTCAGTGATGGGAAACATGGTCTCATCTACGCTACCCCTTTGGGTTAACGCTATCTTGGTAATAGGCACACATACATACTGCCCTCTCCCATCCATCAACCCTGA